GTTCCAAATGTAAGGTGCTGTGGTTAAGCACAAAGCTGACAAAATCTAGTTCTGTAAATTATACTTCAAATAAAGGCCCTCTTACTAGGATCTTAAAGTCAATTACTGGTCAATAAACCTTAACCTAACTTAATTCCTCAAAGAGAGGAAATATTTTTAGACAAGAAAATTAAGTTTTAGAGGATAAACTAAATCCACTCTAACTTATTTGTAGCCATTTTGGAATTTACTGATTTTAATTTGAAAAGGTACAAGGGCTAGTGTTGTCAAAAAGAAAAAGATAACTCTTGGTCTTTTTAGCCAAATTGCTATTTGCTAAAGGAAATGTTACTGATAAACTGAGTTTTGTAGAGTCCTCTAGCAATATTATCCTACATGTCAATGATTTCTAATTTTATATTATTAGCATATTTATAGCCATAATTGGAAGGACTGAAAACTATATAAAAATAATTATCATTGATGAAGAGTAAAAAAGATCATTCATAGCTCAAACATGTCTAGCTCAACCCAACTTAAAATCTTACTACTCTGGAATGAATTTTTACTAAAAGACAAGTATCTTGAGTCTGCATTAGAGAGCTATTAAAGATAAAACCAGTTAACCACCAAATTTAAAAATAATCTTCAATCAAGCCTTAAAATGCATCTACCTTATGATATCCATTGCCTGGTAAAGTATTTCAGACTGATCAACTCCAAGAACCTTCTTTGCCCCGGCTTTAGCAGCAAACATGGATAGGATTCCAGTTCCGCAACCAACGTCCAACACCACCTGGTGTAATAAACAGATGTTACTGAAAAGGTCTAATACTTTAAATCCTATTCATATATATTATGATGTTTCTGGCTATGAATAGACCACAAAAATTTTAATTTTACCAATCAAATATGGTAATAATTTCGATTTGGGGAAACTGAAGATATCATTATAATGAGTTACTTTAAATTCGTAACAGTGTATTTGGCCATAGTCTGCTGTAATCAGATGCAATAATGTAAATTTAAAGAATGTTTTATATGAAATAAGTAATTTCCATAGACTTCTTAGTAGAAAAGTATCCTATTTTTTATTTCCTTATTGTATGTATGCTCTAATTAAGGCTTAATAATTCTAAATTTTAACAGAAATAAGCTTTCTCAAGTTTGAGTGGCAGGAATTAAGCAGGAGAGCCTGATCCAATACAATTAAAAAATGGTTATAAAGGAATCATGGATGGAGAATACTGTCACATCCCTTCCACTTCCAAACTTAAATATTAAACTTATTTTATTAATATATGTACAATAAAAACAAATTGGCTTCTATAATTCAGTACCTTGAGAATTTAAGTTTTAAAAATAATATTCATCATCTCTGGTAAAAGTAACAAGAAGAGCCAAAGTTTGAGATGTTATTGGGGATAGGTAGGGAGCAATTATTTCTAAATCAAGAACTTCATATGGTTCTTCCCAGAATAATATAGTGAAACCTACTTGGCTCACAGTTAAAAAAACAAAAACAATTACCAAGGAAACGTATTAAGAAAAATACTCAGAGATACACTAGAAATTACTGAAAACTGTAGTGCCTTAAGTCTTTCATTATCAATGGCCTAAAATCCTATACACTTGTCCCAAAATATGAAACTAGTTCAGTGCTTGTCTGTAAGTATTCACTGAGCATTAGTAAGTGCAGGCGCTGAGCATTACCAAGTGCAGGCACTGATCATGGTGACGGAGTACAGCAACAAACAAGACCAAGTGCCTATCCTACTGGTGATTCCAATCTTGTGGGAGAGACAGATAATGAGAGACAAAGAATACAGAATTATGTCAGGTAGTGGTGTTATAAAAAAAACTAAGCCACCAGAGCAGAGGTCAGAGCAAGGGAGAGAGGATACACTCTTTCAGAATTTTAGGTAGGTCTGCAAATACTTCTCCAATATGTATGAGCAGAGAACTGAATGAAATAAAGCCATGCAAAGATCTGGGGGAAGTGCCTTCTAGCCACGGAGGATATTAAATGCAAGGCACAAGATTCCAGGCAAAGCAAGAAGGCCAACGTAGCTGAGCTGGGTGAGAAGGGTTGCTTGGAGGTGAGATCAAGGTTAAGCAGGAGTCACAGCACATAATGCCCTTGGGCTATATTCTGAGTAACAGGAAGCTACTGTGAGAAAAACAGAATTAGAATTAAGAATCTATTATGTTGTTCAACAATTATTTTTTCACTAGGTAATATATTCACATAGTTTAAACATCAAAAAGTATATTTCTTATTTAACCTTCAAGAAAATTTTCGTGCACATACAATGCAATACTATATATGTTTTTCCTTCCCCTTTTTACACGAATGGAAGCGTATCATACCTACCGTGCTACGTATCACTTTTTTTTGTATTTCACAATATAATTTGGAGATCTTTCCATACTAGTTTAGAGAACTTCTTTCTCTTACGTAGCTGTATAGGATTCCATATTATGGCTATACCATAATCTATTAATCCATTTCTCTACTGTGGACATTTAGGTAGTTTCTGAAATTTTACTATGACAATCAGTGCTGTAAATAACCTCACATCTAACCCCACTCACACATGAATAACTCTATAGAAGTGTAAGAATAAATCTATTCCTAGAAGTAAAAACATTGAAAATACTGGGTCAGAGAGAATATACGTATTTATAATTCTGCTTGACATAACCAAATTACCTGCCATAGGGCAATTCTACTCATGAAGACTCCAACCAGTAATGTGTAAGTGCCAATTTCCTCACAGGTGAGACTAGCCCATGGAGCATATAATCAGACTTTTGGATTTCTGCCAATCTGGCAAATAGAAAATAATGAAATACTGGTCCTGTTTTAATTTCCATTTTGCATTCCATTGTTTGCATTTTTATTATCATGAGGTTGAGCATTATTCCACATGTTGAAAGAACATCTGCTGTACTTTCTATGTGAACCATCTACTTATATCCTTTCTCCATTTTCCCAATAACTTGTCAGTCCTTTGCTTATCAAATTTTTCTTATCAAATCTTATCAAATAGGAGTTCTTCGTAAGTTTAGACTTCTGTGATATGACTTAAAATATTTTCTCTCAGCATATATTTTTGTCTTTTGATTCTGCTTACATTGATTTTTGTTATATAGAAATTCTTTACTAACAATCAAACTCTTTAATCTTTTATTTTACAGATTCTGGATTTTGGTCCTAATTACAACTAGCCCATATCCTCCCCTATTTCATTCACATATCCTTCTAGTGCATTTATAATTTCATTTATACAGTTTTTTTAAAATCATGGTATACACTAAGAGGTATAGTTCCAACTTCTGTTCAGACAGCAAACCAATTATCCCAACATGTTACTAAACAGTCTGTTTCCTCCACTGATTTGATATGTGACTGCTATGGTCCAAATGTGGCCTCCTGGAATTCTATGCTGAAATCCTAACACCCAAGGTGATGGTATTAGAAACTGGGCTCTCTGGGAGGTGATTAGGTCATGAGGGCAGACCAAAATATACACAGAAATTTTAGTGAATGCTCAAGTACCCTGTCTTAAACCATTCAGGTTGCCATAACAAAAATACCATAAACTGAGTAGTTTATATATACAACAAATTTCTCACAGTTCTGGAAGCCAGAAAGTCTAAGATCAAGGCACAGGCTGACTCTGGCTGCTTTGCAGTTCACAGACATACCTTCTTGCTGTGTCCTCAAATGACAGAGGAGAGGAAGGGATCTCTCTGGAGATGTGTACATACATTGGTCTATTTCTAGATTTTTATTCTGCTCCATTAATCTATATAATTACATGCCAGTAATTATTCTAATTACAGAAGCTGTATAGAATTTTTTCTATCTAGTAAAGCTGGTCTACCTTCACAGCAAAATTGTTTTTAGTGTTTCTGGACAATTTTATATGTTTATTTTCCCATGAGAACAAGAGAATCAGCTTGGCTATGTTTTATTTTTTAAAGTCTTAGCATTTCTATGGGGATTGAATTAAAACATAAATTATTCTATGGAACAGACAAAATTTTATTTTGAGTTTTCTTTTCATGGTATAACTTTCAATTTGTTTAAATCATCTGTTATGTTCTTCAGGACTTTTTTTTTTTAATCTTTTTCATGTAAGTCTTGCACATTACTTAAGTTTGTTCCAATGCCTTTTATCTTTTGTACTGTTTACTAGTATAAGTGGAGTCCGTTTCATTACATCTTGAAAATACAATTTACCTGAACTGACTCCAGAAGAGAGAAAAATCTAAACAGCCTAATTAGTTGTCAAAAAGCTACTACTCTGTGTCTCTTATCCTCTGTCGCTCTGAGAAGGATGAGGCCCAGATGGTTTTATAGGAGAATCTGACTGGTCCTGCACATGCAGCCTGTCTGGGTGACTCAGCACATTTTAACATGACCACTTCACACACAAAAAGTTAAAAATTATAAGATGCAACCTATACGACATCATTGCAAACAAAAATGAATTATTTTTTAAAGTCACAAATAAAACATATTGACCGCAACATCTAGAAAATACTGTAATCATAGCATATATATTTGTAGTATGGTTATAGTATATCCAATTGGAATATTATATGGTATAAAATGATAATAAAATATTCCATTAAAATGTTTATGGAAAAGTCAAGCTGGCAGCACTAAAACCATCCAGGGTAGAACCTTTCTGACCCCCAGAGTCCATTGCTAGGAATTTATTTCATTATTTATTCTCACAAATATAAAAATTTGATTTTTAATATTTTAAACTCTTATACACAGCATTATTTTATCACAAAAAATTAAAACATATGAATTAATCTGACATTGGCTTTATGAGCCATTAAAATAATGTTAATAAGAAATTACCTTAGAAAAATTGCTGAGTGATGAAAGCTAAGTACAGAAATACATGTATCATTACTCCAATTAGAGTATGTGCTCTTTTATAAGACTCTCTCTCTATATACATATATATTATTCTTATTTAATCCTTTCTGAAGGGACATGAGCTTCAGAGAAAGGAAGTAACAAATCTAGGTTCAAACAGCTGGTAATTTGTGAAGCTAGCACTCAAATACAGGTCAATCTGCTTTCAAAGCCTACCTTTGAATTATATTTTGAATTGTATACTATTTATTACAACCAGCTCAGATTTAGGTAGTTGAGTAAATAAACTAAAACTTGATAGAATCAAAGAAAGTTAGAAATAACAGAATACACTAACATTTTATAAAATGATGAAGGAATATGATTCATTTTCTAAAAAGAAAAAAAAAGAAGAAAGTAAATCAATTTTAACTGTAGATAATAATCAAAAGCATAAAGAAGGCACCTAACTGTGAATTTCTTCAATGAACTACAAATAGAAATTAATTATGAATGAGTGATAACACGATGTGCCACCCAAGTTAAATTAACTCTGAGAAACCATATGGCCTCCACGGGAGCTTTGTGAATTAAAACAATATTAAGAAAGGAATGAAGGAAAGGAAGCAGGAAGGGAGGGATGGAGGGAGAAGGGAAGAAAAGGAGGAAAGAACACATTTTTAGTTACAAGCACCTTTTGAAAAATAAAACTGCCATGCACTAAACAATACAATATAGAAGCTACTGCTGGGATGTAAAATTTATTTGTCTAATGGAGATAAAAGCAAACATAAACAATGGTAATAAAACTGAGAAAAACATATAATTTCATACATTTAAAAAAAGAATTATCTTTAAATAATTTCATGAACATGTTCTGTCATGGCACACAAAAATCATATGACCTATATATGAAAAACAGTGCGGGGGGTAGGTATAGCTCAAGCAGTAGAGCGCATGCTTAGCAAGCACAAGGTCCTGGGTTCAATTCCCAGCACCTCCTCTAAAAATAAACAAAACCTAATTACCTCCACCCATCCTACCAAAAAAATAAAATAAAATAAAATAAAATAAAATAAGAAAAACAGTGTGAACTAAAATGTCACTTATGAATCTCATTCTAATTACTTAGTCATTCTATTTCAACATAATGGTGTTCAAAGTGTAGTAGCACAGGGTTAAGGGCACTAGACTAGAACTAAAACTCTCAGGTGCGTTTGTTTATTTGTTTGTTTGTTTAATTTTGGTTATGTTTGGATTTTTAGTTGTCTCTTTTAGAGTGAGTCTGTTGGTAATGGGTCTCAAGTTTCCTCATGTGTAACATGGAGATAAATACCAGCCATGCCCACTTATAGGTATATTGTATAGGGACAATCAGACAACATGCCTGAAAGTATTCTATAAATTATCAAATGCTATTTAAATATATGGTAATTATTTCCTAAATCTGCAGCCATAGTATAATAAAGTATCCCGAATCATTTAAAAATGTGAAAGTTCCTAATTATCTAATATTGTTAATTACAGGAAATTATATCCTGAATATGCTTTAAAGGGTTAGAAATTGATACATATGGTATTTTACATTACACTCTACTTTTGAGAAACCACAGTTGCCAAGCAAAACTAATTACACATTGATAAATTAAATGAAAGTATCTTAGGCAAAGCACTAAGGAAAAATAACCCAACTTATTAATAAGCCCTTTTCTGGCTTGGCAGGTTTAATCTCTTCAGTAAAAACAGTAAATGGAATACAAAATAATTAAACATAACAAGTTTTCCATGGTCATGTATTTTGCTCAAAAATGTATATAATACATACAATATTTATATAATATTGCTATAAATAAAAAATTACAGGCAGAAAGTGACTATATATAGATCTATGAACTCAGTAAAATGTGCATTATATCCACAGAAATATTCATATTTATTTAATTTCTCAATAATTAATCTTATGATTACTAATACCTATTTCTTTTCAGTATTTTCTTATGTAATATAAAACAAAAGTCTATTCAGGAGCATACTGAAAAAGAAACTTCCAATTTCTTTTTACTTAACAAATTCTTGTGGCATTTACATCAAAAAGTATCAAATAAAAGATGGCTCAAAGAAAGGAAATGATAATACATAACAAAGTGATAACAACAAAAATAACAGAATTTTAGAAGCAGAAATGTTTAAAAAATTACTTCACAGATGAGGCCCATAGAGACTCACCACTTGCCCAAAATTGTTACCTGGCTGGTTCCTGAGAATCCAGGCAGGACAAGTGATTCCCCAACTAGTACATGCTTAATTTCTACACAACACATTAAGGAAAGAATTAAATAAAAATCTGGGCATGTTCTAACTATAAACATAAAGGAAAACTTTTAATAGTAACAATATCTGCTTCCCTGAAAACAAACTGATTTTTCAGATGGATATTAAATAAACTGCAGCACTTGAGTGCAAATGTAAAAACGATAAAAAAAAATTCTTAGTTTCTGCTGAAATAACATAAAAAAGCATACAAAAAAGCCAAGTTAAAGAACTGATAAAAACCAATGTTTTAAAAATGAAATAATCTATTCACCTAGAGTGCGAATTAGCAGAAGCAGAGAAACACAAATCATCATAAACCTCTCATGATAGGTAATACTTTGGCCAACTCAGCTAAATCACAAGCAAAATAATGCTCTTAGGAAACAGATGTAGAAAATGAAAAGCCAATCTTTATGATATTCCAAACAATATAAAAATCAGGAAAAGAGATTTTTCTGCATATAATAGTTGTCAGTCACTGCTACAATATCATGTGAAGCCCATGAAATAACCGCAGCGAAGTATTTTTTAAAATGGAGGTGGAAGGGGAATTATAAAAACCTGAGTTACCAAGAGACACGTTCTTGAAGTAGAAAGAGTGGGAAAAAATTCAAGCAACAATATATAAGTGGATAATACTCCTGACTAAACGAATGAACTAATTTCCAATAAGGAGGAACAAACTGAAAATCTGAACGTTTAGGTAAGCATGCCAATATAGACAGGGAAGGAAGGAGAAAGTGAAGAAGGAAAAAATGGAAAAATTCACAAGGGAGGGAAAACAAATGACACAAATTTCAAAATACACACACAGTGAAAGATCACCTTTGAAATAACGTGAGGCACTATTAAGACTAATTATAAAATATAAACAATATCATAAAGGGGTAAATAAATGAGGTTTTAAAAGAAAGCACATGAAAAAAATTCTACCTTACAATATTTGACCCTACTTACCAATAACTTCTCAGTATTATTGATTTTTAACTAACATGAACTAAAATAATAATTAAAAGTGCTTTGGTACGAGATTTATCTTATACATGTGAGATTAACAGGAATCACAATAAATCAAAGATGTGGTTTATGCCAAATTATATGGATAAGCCAAGTTTAACTAAGCTATGCCACTGTAATTAATGAATTGCAATTTAAAAAAGAGTCAGTGTTTCTGTTACCAGTATCTTGTACCACAGAGCAGCATCCTAAAAGCCTTCCATGAAATAAAGGTGGTGTACAGGAAATCAACTACTGTCACAACGATGACTTAGAATTTCTGCCGCCCAAGATGCACGTGAAATGTACAATTCTGTAGCCTATGTACTCACCTTGTCTTTGAAGATATGTGGATTCTGGTATATAAAATCGCGGTAACTTTCTGTTCGTACTTTGTCCTAGGGTAGAGAGAGGAATACATCGTGTTTACAGGATAGTCTAAACAAATAAAAATTTTTAAGGACGAGATTTGTTCATTTATCACACACTGCTAGCTTCCATAGCTGCTTTTCGCCTAGAAAACCAAGCTTAATCTTCTTCTCCTAAAAGAAAATAATAAATAATAGAAATAGCAACAACACACAAAGAAAACATTCAAGAACATCACAAAGTCAAAGGAGATCTAAAATCTTAAAAATGGACATATTTTCATCTTGACATGAATTATCATGATAAAACTTCAAGTGATAATTAAAGCTAACAGAAGATGAATGTTATGTTTTGCTCCTTTAAACGAGGCCTGGAATCTATAGTCTATTCCCTGTAGTAAAACTATGCTAAAATATGGGAGAAAAACACCAACAGTTAGATGCAAAACTTTTAGTTCCATACGAAAAATGAAGCTAAACTAAGTATAGTTTTCTAAGAAAGTCACTGGTCAGCATCTATCTGATTTATAATCCTGTTTTGTTTCTAGAAAAGTCTGTAGTAGGAAATGATGCTTTAAGGCCTTTAAGTCTTAAAGTAAATCACCTGAGCCCTGCGGCCCTCACTATGAGACTTCTCTGCTCGGGAGTCTTACATGACCTGTGACCAACGCAGACCCTGAATGCTAACATTTATGTTGGTTTATGAACAGAGCTGATTTCCTTTTAAACTACCTCCGCTGAGACACATACTGACAGCAGATTAAGCCGCAAGGGGCCTTGCTGCCAAGTGAGTAAAACAAGTATGATAAAAATATCTCAGACTGGGAATTCTAGTTTTGGGTTTCACACTAGGTGAAAACAAAGCAGTTACACCAAATACTACAATATAAAACTATTTTACTCCCAACCGTTGTCTTTGATCATGTGAGCAAGCTCAATGATAAATTTTCCTTCCTTATAAAAACAAAACAAAACAACCAACCAAACTTTATACAACACATATCCCCTGCCCAAAACATTTTCATGCCAATATTGGGATTAAAAAAAAAACATACAAAGGAGGTCTTAAATTAAAAGGCAAGTTGTTTTACTTAATTACTGGATCCAAAGAAGGGGGATTCCATAATTAAGCCCACATTTTCTAATGGAATTATTTCTAACTGTTCTACAAACAAAATTTTAACTCAGGTTTATTAAATCTTCCCCTGAATTCTTACTTTAAGAATTACTTTGAGAATCTAATGTTTAAATGAATTTATACATATTATTTTATCTTATTTTACAACTTCTTTTTTAAACGTATCGTTTCATACATTTTTACTATTTTTATAGTCTTCTTATACTATAACCAGTGACTTTTGCTGACACAACAAAACCTACAAAGAGTGTACATCAGTCAAGAAGGCAGCCACTTGGAAAGCTCTCACCAATCACATTGCCTCCCCACTGCTCTAACTTGATCACTAGTGTCCCAACTCCTGTCCTAAGTCCATGCACTGCTGCTCAGCTCAACTACAATTCTTCATCTGGGCTATTTCTAAATATCCATCTGTTTTTACTCATCCACTCACTTGGTGCAATGAAACCTAAAATATATTAAACACAGTGCCTTGGACATAGCAGAGCTTCGACTTAATAAATGAATCTTTGAAAGGAAAATTCACTAAACATGAAAATCCAAGCAAATCAAAGACTGGCTCAAAAATCATTTCTAAAAATTTATTCCAACAGAAGATTAATCTTCCATATAAAATAAGGTAATAAACAGAAATAAAATTATCCTTTGCACCAACCTATTAAAACTAAGAAACTCAGAAGAGTAAAATTAGAGGTCCAATATTAAGAAGCAAGATAATCTTTTAAGGCTAGTCCAGTATAACAGGATTACTCCTACAAATATAAAAAAATTTTAAGTATGAAACTAAAGACAACAGAAAAGTTACATACTACAAATTTTACCTATTTAAGTAACAGTATGTTTTAAATGTATAGGCTCATGGAGGCAAACAGAATGCATGAGTGGCTGCAGATACAATGAGGAAAATGTAGCAAAGAAAAATTATTTAATGGTGTTTTAATCTGTGATAATTGTTCACCAAAATGAATAATGTTTTTCTTGGGGGAAAAAAAATGGTGATCTCAGATTTATAACATTAGCAACAATGACTCTTCTTCAGAAATATATACTGGATTTTCAATACAGCCAAAATATTATCTGACATACATCTCAAAAATGTTCTCCTAGGGCAGTCTACCCAAGCAATAGAAATAAAAGCAAGAATAAACAAATGGGACCTAATTAAACTTACAAGTTTCTGCACAGCAAAGGAAACCATAAGTAGAACAAAACGACAACCTATGGAATGGGAGAAAATTTTTGCAAATGAAACCAACAAAGGCTTGATCTCCAGAATATATAAGCAGCTCATATGACTTAATAAGAAAAAAACAAACAACCCAATCCAATAATGGACAGAAGATCTAAACAAGTAATTCTCTAAGGAAGACATACAAATGATCAATAGGCACATGAAAAAATGCTCAATATCAGAGAAATGCAAATCAAAACTACAATGAGGTGTCACCTCACACCAGTCAGAATGGCCATCATTCAAAAGTCCACAAATGAAAAATGCTGGAGAGACTGTGGAGAAAAGGGAACCCTCCTATGATGCTGGTGGGAATGAAGTTTGGTGCAGCCACTGTGGAAAACAGTATGGAGATTCCTCAAAAGATTAGGAATAGACTTACCATATGACCCAGTAATCCAACTCCTGGGCATATATCCAGAAGGGACCCTACTTCAAAATGACACCTGCACCCCAATGTTCATAGCAGCACTATTTACAATAGCCAAGATATGGAAACAGCCTAAATGTCCATCAACAGATGACTGGATAAAGAAGATGTGGTATATTTATACAATGGAATACTATTCAGCCATAAAAATGACAACATAACGCCATTTGCATAACGCCATTTGGATGTCCCTGGAGAATGTCATTCTAAGTGAAGAAAGACAAAGAGAGAAAAATACCATATGAGATCACTCATATGTGGAATCTGAAAAAAAAAAAGAACAATAAATATAAAACAGAAACAGATTCATAGACACAGAATACAAACTTGTGGTTGCCAAGGGGGTAGGGAGTGGGAAGGGACAGACTGGGAGTTCAAAATTTGTAGATACTGACAGGTATGTGCAGAATAGATAAGTAAGATTACACTGTATAGCACAGGGAAGTGTGTACAAGATCTTGTGGTAGCTCACAGTGAAAAAAATGTGACAACGAATTTAAGTATGTTCATGTATAATTGAAAAATTGTGCTCTACACTGGAATTTGACACAACATTGTAAAATGACTATAACTCAATAAAAAAATGTTAAAAAAAAAAGAAAGAAAGATATACTGGATTTTCAAAGGATTTTGAAAGCTCAAGTATTCTATCCCCCTACCAACTGTATCTCTGGAATTCAAAAAAGTTATCTTCACTGTGACTCCAGAAAATAAGACTACAAACTACCTTTATTTATAATTATAACCACAACATATGTCAAAATAGTGTCATTAAAATAATAAAAAAATTCAAACAATATTTCTATAAAAGCAAGGTCAATTCTAGGCATAAAAATAAGTCCTGTATATAGGACTTCTCAATTTTAAATCATTTATAAGGATCAGACGAGACTGGCAGTAGCACAACCTTGAACCAATTATATGTGTTAAGAATTGTTATAAGAAACAAAAAAATATTGCTTGATATAAGGCACATTTCATATTCATCCACAGTATGTAACCTAGTAAAATATAAAATGGACAAGCAGTTCCTTTTGAATGAAATATATCCATATCTCCTATAAACACTTAATCATGTCATCTCCAAGGAGAAGTGACGCCATTGCACAGGCATGGAAAATTATATTAATAAAGGTTGAGTTAACTCTCTAAGTGAAAAGACAGCACTGGAAACTTCAAGCTGGAACTTCTTAAACATGTAAGTACATCAAAAGAACTTAAAGATATGTGAGCAGATGTGAAGATCCCTTAGTTACTAATATAAACCTATAAGGGTGCAGGACAGAGATTTGGAAATAAGCCCAAACTGGATTTCTCTGGATGATTGTACTGAGAACACTTGCATGTACTGTCTACCAGGAGTCTCAGTAACCCTATCTGCCTGAAAAACCCAACACAACGTCCATATCAAAAGCATTACAGGTTCGTGGCACTTAAACTGATAGGGTGCTTAAAATGGCAAACATGGACTTAGATTAACTCCTTTGAAGAAAATATTCCAGACACAATAAAATTAGTTTTAAAAAAGAAAATGCAGTATATTAATTTCTTTTAAACAAATTCACTCTGAACTTAAAATAATTTATTACTTATAACTGTTATTTGTAATGCTACGCCATTCCCCAAGTGACAACTAGTACAACTGTGACACGTCATTAGTAAAGAAATGACATGACATTGTGAAAGACCCCAAGTAATTACAACTACTATGAGTCAGCAAACCTCCACTCTGTGGTCCTGCAAAGCTGACTCGACAAAATATACACATGTTATTAAATAGCCTTGGTTATTTTAAATGCATATGTTTCAGGGAACATAGTCCCCAGGCTTCCATAAAATAAAACAATCTTTTGAGGAGGGATTCAGAAAGGAATTTTTTGTTTCTTGGTTTTAAGAAAAAAAAAAAGAAAGGTAAAATTTCTAAAATTTTCAATAATTTTTACACTTCAACATTTGTTTTACTCTAGCTAGCTATTTTAAGTTTTACTGAATTAAAGTCACATTTTGCTATTGTATAATCTATAATACAATGTGATAAAATGTATATATTATACCAGGTACAGCTAGAAATCTACTTATAGTTTATATGAACATCACCATTATAAAAATTTAAACTAACCAAATTCAAATATCTGATTTGACTGATTTAGGAAATTCTTCTATATGTCAAGCATTTCAAATGCAAAACAGTTATGCCATAACAACTATGAGATTTATAATTAATTTTGTACCAAAGAATTATTATTCATCCAAACTATAGTATCTCTAATTAAAACACTAAAATGAATCATTGTCTTCATACATTAACAAACATGTAATTTATTTGTTCCTACTTAAAAGTTCCTTTCAGAAGACGAAAACTGTCAGTTTTTTTCCAGTGTCCTATTTCAAGCGAAAATAATCTCAAAATAAAGATTAATAATAATCTTAGAATTTACATTGACTTTGATGCGTCTATCATCTTTTGAACGCAAGATGAGCTATCAAACACCAAAGAGATTTAAAAAGCAGTTCTCAAAAAAACCAAAAACAAACCCCCTCCCCAAAAAGCAGTTCTCCCACAATGTATGTATGAAGAGCTTGTTTTACTTCACTTTTCCTTTATATGGACTGTGCATTTGTGCTCTTTTCTAACCTTCAGCATCTCTTCGTGTATCCCATAATGCCCGTAAGAGCTGAAGTAAACACCATCCTCATCCTCCTGGAGGTCTGCAACGGTAGCCGTAGATGACGAGCAGGTTCTGACATCTGCGTTCATCACAAAATCTGAGCAAATTGTCTGTAATCAATTTGAAATACACCCTTGAGACAAGTTTATTAGACCATGAAAAAAGGAAAGGCTAGAGGCGGAGGATGAGGCAGGGGGAGGGAGTGGAGTGTGGAGTGTGATGGGCCTTCAGTCACATTCTACCTTAAGCTCCCTCTGCTGGAGCTTAAACAATGGCATGTTCAAATCCAGTAGTAAGCATTCATTCTGCACACCACAAAAACACTGCCACCTGCCACCTGCAGATTATGGGTGTTTACATCCCCCAACGGAACAAAAGAAGTACACTATCTTTATTCAACTTTATCATTCCTACTATTCCAAAATCATTTTTTAGCAGCTGAATCAATGTAGTATATTCCAATGCTTTTAAATATTCTTCAAAACCATATTATCCCATGGAAGGGTTATAGGCAGAAAGTATATCCAAATTGGTAATTATTTGCACACACCAACACCATCCACTTATGCTCTAAATATCAGTTCCCTCTTGATCACAACACATCAAGCAACTATAGGGTATCCATGGGGGAGAAGTGTAAAGAGGCAGGCAGTAGTAGAGTTGTTGGTTACTAGGATAAAATCTCAGAAAAGGGGAACAGAAACTACCATCAGCTATACTGTTTTTCCCTGCTGGACATTCTGGCAAACTATCACATGGGTACTCAGGCAACAGCAACCAACTTACAAATCTAACAGGTTCAGCTACGTACTTGGCAGTAACGCAGAACCTCAGACCCTACCTATTCCACACCTCCCGAATCAGAATCTATAGTTTAACAAGATACCCAGGTGATTTGTATGCACATTAAATTCCGACAGGTACTAAGCCAGTAGAATACTGGAGAAAACCATCCTATGGATCTGGTTTTCTGATTACACACTACATCATAATTATACCTCAGATCTTTAAAAACAAAAATTTTAACCCTGTATTTTTCCCAGGCCTAAAAAATATTAATTCCTATGCTTTAAAAGCCTAGGAGAGGAAAAGTAAAATGGAGACATCTATTAGAAATAAGGTAATTCACACCAGATACACATTGTAATTGACTGTACTTCAATAAAATAAAAAATTTAAAAAAATTTTTAATAAAAAAAAGAAATAAAGTAATTCAAAGGAAGGTAATATCAAGGAACAAAAAACATTCAGGAGGAAAAGACTCTCCAGGAAAATTACCATCACTACGAAAGTAATTATAAAGAAATATATGAGATTAGGTAAAACTACAGAAATTTACGTTAATCAACTACACCCACAATATATAAAAATACTGCATATCTTAATATTACTAAACTTAAACATCCACACTGTGCTCTCCAGTAAATGAAATGTATCACCTTTTTATGAAATATCTAGTATATGAAACATTCTACCTTTTTATGAATTGTATTATTTGGGGGATCTAAAAAATTAATTTCCTATAAGGTTGATAAATTACTTCATTCTCTGCAGATCTTCACGTGCTCCAGCTAATGCAGCTTCAGCAGACAGTGCCCTGGCTTCCATATGTTTCAATTTTTCTACGACGGATGTATTTTCACTGAGTCCATTGGGGTATGAGAATGGGACTGACACCGGTTCATAAAGATCTTCTACATCTAGATAAATAAATGGACATTCTTATAAGGCCCATCTTATAACAGTGAAGTACATACAAATGTGTTAGGAATACATATATACTAAGTGCCTATGATACAGCCAACTAAGAAAAATTAGTACGGTTACTTAAATATTTAACATACAAACTGTTTCCATTTGAATTTAAAGAGCAGGCTGTTACTCTAAGTGTTTTATTAGTTGGCTAAATTGAGCATATAAATAAGCATTAATTGTACTGAACCAAACTCAGGAAGAAACAAAAAAGTAGAAGAAAAAAACCCTAATATTTATTGATCATCAGGCAACTTTCAAGTTCATGCCTTGTATCTCATTCTGTCTCCAAAACCTAAAATATAAACATTAATCCCTATTTTAAGACATGGGAAAAATAAATTTCAGAGAAATTGACCTGCCCAAAGTCATAGAGCTGTTTAATGAAGGAACTAAGATTCAAACAAACGCCTGCCTTCTGAGCCCATGTTCTTGCCACTACACAGGGCCACCTCCAGCCTCTGGGTCCTTATCTGCAGAACAGCAGGTATCACATTTAGATATTCCTTAAGGACAGTGTGCAGGTAAAGAATTCTGTATATTCAATAACTTTTTCATCCTGGGTAAGGTGGTATGCATTCTATACACGGTCTTACTGCTGATATTATTAAATATTCTAATTTCTAGCATTATTAAAAATTCTTGATGTAAAATTAATTTCATTATATGTAAATTACTAACTTCTGCTGTAGAACTAATAATTCTGTAAACAGAAGTAAATATATAGAACTAGTGAGTTTTACAAAATCCCAATGTCCACTGACTAGTCTAATTAACTTTCAGATCAACTTAAAGCAATAAAAACAATGCAGATATTACACTGTCTTCTCAACACAGCACTGAGGCAAATTGGACTTTTTTTTCCTATTCAGTTTTTAGTTGCAACACTTCTTCAGAGTAGGGACAAAATAACTAAGCTTAACAAATACATAATAATATTATAACTTAGAGATTAGAGCCTAAATTGAACTTGTTATAAAATGCAGCTGTGTCACTAATCTCTAGCCAGTCTGGCAGAATACTGATTCATTGTTTTCAGAAACTATAGATTCATCCACTATTTAATTCACCAAAAATTAGTGAGAGCAACAAAATATTGCCAGACTACAGTAGAGGATGGTGTACCATATTTTCTACTTCCTACTAAGACACTCTCAATGTGTATCTTATCTTCAAATCTCTTCAAACTGTTGCAAACCACCTTGCTTAGGTTATAGAGAAACTGGCTCCATTCTTTTAGCTGGTTTCTCTATTTTGCTTTCTGCTGCAACAGAAGTTAGTCAGAATAAAAGCTTTCAGCATTAATAACAGAGTTGCCCCTTGGTTTCTGTGGGGGATTAGTTCCAGGACCCCTCCTTGGATACCAAAATTTGTGGATGCTCAAATTCCTATATAAAATGGTCTAGTATTTACATATGACATTTTAAATCCCCTCTAGACTCCTTATAATATCTAATACAATGTAAATGCTGTACAAATAGTTGTAAATACTATGTAAATATTTGCCAGCAGGCAGCAAATTCAAGTTTTGTTTTTTGGAATTTTCCAGAATTTTTTTTCCTAATTATTTTTCATTGGAGGTCGGTTGAACCCAAAGTCACAGACTCCTGGATACAGAAGGCCACTTGTATACAGATAATCATAGACGAAAGGTTAAATGTACAGTTTTGAAAAGGAGAAAGGGCTGAGTAAATATTAAGATTCATAACTATATCTAAACTGTCTAATTCAAACTCCCAAAGCATATTCAGGAAGATGAATTTCTACATCTAAATTCTGTCTCAGGAGGTTCAAATACCTGGATCCTTCATTTTGGCAGCTGAGAACTACCACAAAAGATGGTCAATTTTTCAGGAAGATGTAACAATTATAAATGAGAATAAACCTCACAAAAGAGTGTCAAAATACATGAAGCAAAAGCTGATAGAATTACAGGCAAGGACAGGCAAAAACAAACAATCCTCTAATCAGTCAGAGATTTAAATACATCCCTATCAGCAACTGATGGAGCTAGACAGAGCTAGCTAAAAATCCACAAAGGCACAAAAGATCTGAACAAAAATATTCAGCACTGTGAACTATTTATGGAATACTGCACCCAGTAACTATATCTTGACACCTTTGAAGAATACTGATCAGTAATTCTGTAGAATGCCTCTCAACCTGCATTTGTCTGATGTTTTTCATTACTGGAATGAAATCATACACTTCTGGCAAGAACAGCAGAGAAATGATGTCCTCAGAGTATTACACCAAGGGGTTCGTGGTGTCCACTGTGCCTTATTACTGGTGATGTGAACCTTGATCACTTGGTTGTGGTGGTGTCTTCTTGATTTTTTCCACTCAAAAGTTACCATTCCCTTTGCAGCTAACAAACTTCTTGGGAGATACTCTGAACTATGCAAATCCTGTTATGCTTTAACTTTGTGCCCACTAACCTAAGCATACATTGGTGGCTCTTTCTGCAAGTTATTACTGCGGTGTTCGTCTAATGCTGATTCTGTTTCTCTTTCCTCTACCTTCATTAATAGGAATTCTATGCTAAAGTGGAGCTGTTCCTTCCCCGTTTATTTGGTGGATTATTCATGTCAGTATGAACTCATGGATGTTTATTTTATCCTAGGGATTAAAACCGAACAGTACTATTTTCTGTGTTGCTCAAATTCTTCAGCTTTGGCCATTAGGAGCTCCTTCAGTCTGGTTTCTGTGTTTCTTTAGCTAAGTCCTCCCTCCCCCCACTTTTTCTTTGTATGTATTTCCTTATTTTCTGGAACAAGATGTCACAGACTTATGTTGTGTTTTCCTTGCCCCATTATGGACTCAATCACTTCTTCAAGGAGCCTTGCTTCCTTTTATCAATAGGGAATTAATAAAGGATTACAAATCAAGATCTGGGCACTAGGTATGCTCTTTGCTAGTGGGGTTCTTCAAGGCCCTCTCAGCCAAAAGAGCTAGAAAATATATGTTATATTTACTGACACACATATGAACACACTTCCGTATTTCTGTATCTATCTACCTATTAAAAACTGAATTTATCCTGATATTTCTGATCCCAATCTGTCACCACAGGACTCAATCTATCCTTCACTTCCTTTTTTGAAATCTCCTCCAGCGGTGAGAAACCTGGCTCTTACTATCCATAACGTACTTACTTGTTCCATTCTAGCATTCATGAAAAGTAGTGTCAGAATGGCTAATCCACATCCTAGGCTCTAGTTCCTCATTTTATACATGAACACTTAAAAACAGAAAGCTTCAGTGCTTTGTCCAGGGTCACATAGTTCTTGAGTCCTACATTAAGGTTCTCACTACTACATCACACTGCCACACAAGTTCTCTTGATGGTACCTGTCAAGGAAATGAGTGGTTTTCCAGTGTTCGCTTATCAAAGAACTGCTCAAATACACACTGTCCAGCTACTATCTGTGAAGGTACATGTCTGCCTAGAACGGTCTTGCTGTTGTGAAGAGGGCAAACCCTCTACTTCACTTGACTGGCACAAAAAAAAATGAAAGTATAAATTAAAACAAATAATAATAAATCATGAACTCCAATAAATTAGACCTATAAAGCAACCATAAGAATGCAACAGAATTTTCACAAGATCCCTGTTCAAGAAGGAATAAACCAAAGTACAGAGTAAGTAACTAAGGAAGAAAGCTACAATCCAGAAATGAGAAGGGGGAGAGTATAGCTCAAGTGGTAGAGGGCACGCTTAGCATGCAGAGGTCCTGGGTTCAATCCCCAGTATCTCTTCTAAAAATAAATAAACCTAATTACCTCCCCCCACCATCAAAATAAGATGATTAAATAATACAATAATAAATAAAATAAAACATTAAAAAAAAAAGAAAGAAATGAGAGTGACCCTGCCATAGGGCAGCTTCAGAGTTAGTGTAAGTGGGGAAACCCATGGAAATTTGCGTGGAATCTGTTCTAATCAAAACAAAATCTCAGTCAATTAGGTGTCTTAAGAAAAGTCAATTATCAGATCTGATTATGCTAGATAAAAGCAGCAAATATTATTAAATTTACTTAAATCTATTAAATATCAAACCTACCAATTTAAAAACTGTAATTTGTATTAAATAAAAAACTTAATTTTAGTTACACTAAAAATCAGTCTAACAACTCAAAATTATTCTCTCAAGTCTCCCTATGTTTCAGGACACCTTGTACACAGTGTTTAACCCCAGATCATATTCCTCCCTGGTAAATGCTAGTTGACTCTCTCACTTTTTAAGTGACTTCACCTTCCTACCGAAACCAACTACCTAATGAGGTCTTTAGAGAATCAAGGAGATGAATGTATTTTCCTAGAACACCTAACCTCTATTCTGCCATAAGAGATGACCCTACTCTAAAGTAGATACAGTATGTTCATCTTACCAAATTGAAGTAAAAGGTCATCTTCTAGTACTGGCTTCAAATACTCTTCTTTTTCCCAAGGCACTGGGTTGTATATGGAATTCATATACTCAACTGTAGGATTCTGGAGGTAAAATTAATTGCATTATTTTTTCATCACATATAATCACAGGATCCCCCCACCGAAAACTAGGAAAATTAAACACAAAAGGAAATCGTGTCCATGTTACACAAAACTTCTGTTTGAAGAGTCTATGTTTACCTGCCATTTCATTAACTTGACTGGATGATTGCTTAGTTAACAGTTTCAATGCACAGTTTTGTATTGTTTGGATTTGGGCGAAGTAGCAATATAAACATCAACTGAACAGAAAAAAAGGATTTGAAAAAACAGAAAAAGAGCCATCAAAGTACTTAAAATCACACTAGAAATGATTTTTGATTTTACAGAAAAGACTACCCATATTTCCCTTTATCTGACACTGAATTACTCTCAAGTAACACTGATTCATCTCTTAGATACAATTAAAAACGACCTTGCTAAGTATGGGATTTATCCACTCACATGGTGCTACAGCTGTGCTAGTTCCTAATGGCCATGACTCCCTCAAAACAATTGAGTGTCAAATTTAAAACAGTTCCTTATATGATAGTTCCCTGTAGTCTTTTACAAGTTGGTGCATTTAGAGTCGCTGCAGTATTTCTTTAGTTTTTAAACAAAACTGTAAATTAAGCTACTAACTTACCTTAAGTCTAATAAAATTTATTAGTTTAATGTATCCATAAAATTCAAGTCCTAAAGAGGGGGGAAAAAAAAGTCACCTTTTTTAACATCACATGAGTTTCATTTCATTGACCTGCTCTATAGATGCTTCTCTGGTTAGACAATAACCTATTTCTTTCCTCTATACTACTTACAATACTTTAAATTTCTTATTAAGAACTAGAAACATTAACTTTGACACTTCAGAATATTTTAATGGAGAAATAGCCACAGATGACAAATTTTTAAATGCTTTTTTTGCATTTCTGAAAAACAAGAAAATTAATTTTTAGAATTCTACTCCTCACTTATCGGAACACAAAAGAGGAAAATTCAGCCCTAGATTTTACCAAGTATTTGGTGGTTGATATTAAAGCCAAAAGTTTCTAAATCTCTAACATCTGCGGTGCCTACTAAGTTATAATTTTGCCAGGACACAGAGTACACAAAATATACTAGCTTTTTACATTAAGTTAAATGATGCAAGTGAAAAAACGAGGCTTGTCATCATCTGGTTCTCATATTTCCAGAAATGAAGCAGCATTTTAAACCAGGAAAGCATATCCAACTAATTATTTGTCATGAGAAATATTGCTATGAGGAACATAACAGCATACAAAAATGTTTCACAAGCATAACAGCATACAAAAACCTCTATGTGGTAGGTAAAAAAATACAAAATTATATAAAGTATGATTCCAATTCAGTTTTAAAATACACATTAAAAACATAAAAAAAAACCCCAATGCAACTAAGTCATTTATGTCTTACAAAAATAGCTGCAGCTGAATTTATGAGTTATAAACATACTGCACCATAAGTTTATCAGAGACCTAAAGTCTACCTAATGTTTGCTATTCTCCAATAATGTCCTTTCTAGTTAGTAATAAACACAGGGACCAAAAAGCCAATTCTGTATTCAGTTAATTCTAGCAGGATACCGCAGCTCTTCTGTATTCCTTTAGAGTAGTAGGCTCTCAGTACTTATTTTTAAATGCAAGTTTTCAATAGAATCATCATCTGAATCTTGGGCTTACCACTGTAACTTTATCACTCCCTTTTCCCATACTCTCTTACCAAACTCCTTATGAAACACAATTTTGTATGCCTTTAAGTCCATGTTATGCTTTGACCTCACTGCCATTTCCAAAGTCCACCTCTATACTTGCTCTCCCTAATTCTCCCTAATTCTAATACTCCCCTCTTTTCTTCCTAATTCGAATGATAAAAATGCAATCGCATTACAAGAGTTTTTTATTCCTTTATAGTTGTGAACCAATGTAAGCTTAAATGCAGTGAATGTTCTCTAGAAGAATGGCTTACTCATTTTTTCCTCAAAAGCCACTTGTCAAAAAAACTGTATTTCCGTAAGTTGTTGCTATACTTTTCACTATATTAGACTTGGATAGAAAAGGAAAGGTCTGGAAAAATATAAAGTCTAAACTTAAATTTCACAACTAAAAATTTCTTTATTCTAAAAAATACTCACCATGTTTATGAACCATGTTATCAATATTAAATTGATGCTCAGACTTACAGTGTGAAAACGTTTCTTCAGCAGAGGTAAATAACCTGAAAAATCAAGCAACAGCTTCATGGAATAGTCCCCTAAGAAGTTTAAACATTGATTTCACGTTAGATATAAAAGTTTTCGCCCTACTCTGCAGGTTTCCAGTTTTACTTCCAATTAACAGAAAAACAAACATACCTGTAGATGAAAGAAACTCAGCACTTCTAAAGAGAAACATTACTTCTGAGTCCCATTTTCCACCTAAAACAAACCGCCCTTAAAAACTGAACTTAATTTATTTGCTAAATAATAACACTGAATTTATCAAGAGGCTTTTAAGAAAGAGAACTCCCTTTGATAGATTGTTGTCTCTCAAGACACGAAAATTTCGTTTATAAGATTCTTTTCTCCTCTAAGTGTCAACTTTGCTTTCAGAGGCTTTGAAATGGCACAGCTCAGATAGTTTTAAGAAATAATGCACAAAATATAATTTCATAGCTGGCACATTCCCCAAGTGCCATACTTCAAAAGTGGTCTTGCAGTGATCCCCAAGGATTTGCATTACACACAATGTGAGGACCAAGCTTCTTTATTATGTGACTTGCAAAACTGAAGGGCACGTAATAACATAGGAATGCACCACAGAGAAGCTGCATACCTCTTGTGTGCCTAGCACACATGCAGATTTCAACAAACGGTTACTCAGATTGGTTATTTTTGCAGTATTAAGCAGCCTATCACAAAGAAGCACCTCCCTGATACTCAATAAATATTACTTTGCGAGGACGTAGGCAGCCTGTACTCTGTAACTGCCCAAATGAGGGTACAAGTGAGAACGACGACGACTCAACAGGAGCTAATGTACCACCATCAGCACCAGGCCCAGATTCAGGAGAAACCAGTAAAATGTTTAAAGTAACACTGGCTAACGTATGCCAGGCCTCCTTCATACACATTTGCCCAGAACAGCAGCCAAAGTCAAAGCCTGTTGAGACGAAGAGGCAGAATTTTAAGTAGAAAGAATATGGATTTGGATATAAGACAAAGCACAGCTTTGTGACCTTGAACTAGTTTTTGGTGTTGCTGCCTCTTTTCTCCTAAGTGAAAAGGCATCAATTTCTTCCCTTTCAATAGGCGGGGAGCCCTAAGAAAGATGGCTCTTTAAATGGCTCAACTGGAAATACTACACCTCAGAAACTTTATATTTGTTAAGAATTATAGAATGGGAAAGCTGGAAGGGTCCTGAGGGGTTACCTAGTGACTCTCAAACTTGTTACTCCTTAGAATCACCTGGGATAGTGTCTTTACAAAAACAGATTCCTAGACCCCATTCCTGACTTAGAAGGACTGAGGTACAGAGTTTAGTACTGTATTTTTTTTTAAGTGATTCAGATGACAAAGGTGCACAACCAGATTTGGGAGCCACAGATCCAGCCCAGAACCCTTTCATTTTACACAAGGGGAAACAGGCCCGCCGAAGAGAAGCGTAACCTGGCTTCCAGGTCATGGCTCCTCCTTCTAAACCACAGTGGGTCTTGCTTCCCGACAAACCACGGGTTCCACATTTGGAGAGGAGCCGCTCTGGTTGGACTCCAGACGAGCGGACCACACAGACCCATGCGGCCCGGACATCGAGGGCGGAGCCTGGAGCTGAGGTGAACGAACCTGTCACAGAACAGGCAGGGGGTCTGCTGCTTGTCGTGGGGGAGATCGGCATCGTCCTCATCCTCCCAGGCGGCCTCGTCACCGCTGTCTGACAGTTCTGGCAGGTCTTCCTCCTCCTCCACAGCGCCCCGGCCGCCTAGCACACGCAAACCATCAGATCTGCCTCGGACACCAGTGCGAAACGGGCGCACGAGGGGCAGGGAGGGGAGAAGGCTCTGGGCCTCGCGAGCGCTCTCCCGCCCCGCTCCCCGCCCCTCCCCCACCCTCCCTGCAGGGCCCCACCTCCCCGGCTTCCGAAGGGCGCAGGGGTACGGGAGGTCTTGGACCGGCCCCGCGGCGGCGGCGCGGCCTTGGCGCTGAGGGGCCGGGTACCC